CGGGATGTTTGCATGATCTAGCTTCAGAAGTCACATTACTTATGCTGTATTCTGTTAGCAAGGCAGTTACATAGGTCTACCCAGGTTCAAGGGAAGGGAAGACTGAGCCAACATCTCAATGGAGGAGTGTTCTCATCACTCTGTAAAATGAAAATGTGGGATGTGTCATATTGATATTGATACAGATCATGTCATACATGATTCTGTTTGTTCTGTAATAGAGAAAAAATTAACTTCAAAGAAATTAAGCTAAAAAATAAAAAAAAGTGAAACCACAAGCCCTCTAATTGTGTTATTTCATGTAGACATATTGTCAGTTCACACAATGTGAATTTGTGTTCCTCTAATCGGTTTGATCAAGTCAAGCCCACGGCAGCCATAACCATCTTTCTAGATGCAAATCTGATCCTGCCACTGTCTCTCATAAAATGACTCCTTTAGATGTCTGTTGTTCCCACATTAAATTCCAAACTCTTTAACAAGGCTCTTACAGCCCTTCACGTCTGTTTGTTAATTCTGTCTCACCTTTTGATGCTTCCTCCTTTGTCCTTTGTGTTCCAGCTACACTGCACTTCCAGTCTCCAAATTTTCTTTTGCCTTTGGGTGTTTGCATATGCTGTTTTCCTCTTCTGGGATCTTTCTCTGCCTCCATGCTCTATTCCTTTATTCTCTCTGCTATTCATTTGTCTGAATTCAGCTTCCTAAAACAGCTTCTCTCCTGCCTGCCATTCTGACCTTCCTCGGGCCCTCCAGTCTCCTTCCTATGTGCTCCCAAAGCACCCTGTGCTTACCCCTACCCTCTACAGCAGTAGTGATTACAGCACTAATTAGCTAGCCATAGCTTCCCCTCCATCATTGCACGAGGGGAGAGGTGGTTTTATTTTATTCACCACATATACGCTGCCTGAAGTGTGGCAGGGGCTCAACAAATATTGGTTAGATGAATGAATCTGTGCCTTCAATAATCCCCTTCTGGGTTCAAGTAAATAGCCCTCCCACAAACCTAAGATTGCTATGGCAGTGTCCTGCCTTGAATCTTATAACCGAAGTAGGGCCAAAACTGGTTGGAAGAGTTTGGAATTTTCAGGAAAATGCTGTCTCATGTGACTGGAGCTATTCTCAGCCCTGGGGACTCACTCCAAGGCAGGCCAGCGAGTGGCTCCAGACGGTCTTCCTCCTCCAGCAACAGTCCTCCTGGCCAGGCCTGCCTGGGAGGGACACACCTTGGCAACAGCTGGTAGGAAATTTGTTTAGTTGCTATGCCTATAACTAGAGCCTATTTCTGGAGCAGGTACTGGATACAAGCCTGTGCCATTCCAGTGCTGATCTCGCCAAGCCCTGGGCGATGAGTGCATGCACTGGAAAGGAACAGTGGCTGTCCCTTAGTTGATCTTCCTGGCTCCAACCCAGCTCTCTCTGGATGTACCCAATTATTACTGCTTTGCCCTTGTGGGTAATTGTCCTTCCCCGGCTCTAAGGTTTAGCAATAAATATTGATCCATTTGCTCTAACATTCTGTTCATTAAGGATATGGGGAAGAAACAAAGTTTGGGGTGATAAGAAAGGCTCTCTACACTAAAAAATTTTACTGATTTGAGCAAGTCCTAACTAGAGTTTCTTGGGAGTTTCAAGGGTCAAAAGAAACAGATCAGTATCTTTGGCCAATACTATTTTTCCTATGGTTAGTCCAAATTCTGAAAGGAATTGGAACACAGAGAGTTCGTTTGACTTATTTATGACCACACAGTAAGCCACAAGACAGATAAAGATAGCACCCAAGACTCTTGGTTTCAAATTTAGTGCTGCTTAAATAGCCTAAGGTAAATCTATATTAATAAATTAGATTTGGGAACTAATATCAACTTTGTTTTTGGTAAATAGAGTTTTACCCGATTTTAGAGCCATCACTTAAGTTGTCACCTCTAAACCAATTAAGAAACCATTACAACTTCTTGGACTGCCTTCTGTGGAAACCTATCTCTGTTGAAGAGTTAAGCGAGAAGGTAAGCAAAGATCTGGGACCTTCTCACACCTCACCCAGGTTTTCATGTGGGGCTAAAAGCCTTTCAGTCCTACGATTCCTTTTTGGTTCCTCTAAATCAACTCCCCACTTCCTCATATGAAAATTTCTTGTTTCTTAGAGAGAAAATGAAAAGAAAGTAGAGAAAAGGCAAGGCTAAAATCTTGCCTGAATTATAGAAACACTATTTTCTCTTACAGAAATATTCCCTAACCGTCTTATGATCAGCTACTCTTTGAGAGAGTGTTTTGCGACCTTACTGCATTTTTTTTTTCTTAAATTGTTGTTATGGAGGAAGAATAATTTCTATTTTCTTTTTCTTTTTCTTGTTTATTCTATTACAGCTGTCCCAATTTTTCCCCCTTTGCCCCTCCTCCACCCAGCCCACTCCCTGTTCCCGCAATCTCCACACATGGGTCCTATCCATGTTCTTGGGTCACTGATACATGTTCTTTGACTAGTGCCTTCCCCTTCTTTCTACCATCCCCTGACTTTTCCCTCCTCTCTGGCGGATGTCAGTCTGTTCCATGTTTCCATGCCTCTGGTTCTGCTTTGCTTGTTAGTTTATTTTGTTCTTCAGATTCCTCTTATAAGTGAGATCATATGGTATTTGTCTTTCACTGACTAGTTTATTTCACTTAACATAAGTCTCCAGTTCCAGCCATGCTGGTGCAAAAAAGTAGCAGTTCCTTTTTTTCTTTCTGCTGCATAGTATTTAATTGTGTAAATGTACCACAATTTTTTAATCCACTCATCTACTGATGGGCACATAGGCTGTTTCCAACACTTGGCTGTTGTAAATAGTGCTGCTACGAATGTAGGGGTGCATAACTTCTTCTGAGTTGGTGTTTTGGAATTCTTAGGATATATCCCAGCAGTGGAATCATTGGGTCAAAAGGCAGTTCCATTTTTATTGTTTTTAGTAAATTCCATACTGTTTTCCACAGGGGCTACACCAGTCTGCATTCCCACCAACAGTGTACTAGGGTTTTCTCGAGAACCTCACCAGCACTTGTTCTTTGTTGATTTATTAATGATAGCCATTCCGACAGGTATGAGGTGATTTCATTGTGGTTTTAATTAGCATCTCTCTGATGGCTAGTGATGTTGATATTTTTTCATGTATATGGGCCATCTGTATGTCCTCCTTGGAGAAGTGTCTATTCCATTCCTTTGCCCATTTTTTAATTGGATTTTTTATCTTCTTGGTGCTGAGTCATATGGATTCTTTTATATATTTTGGAGATTAAACCCTTGCCCAAAATGGGAAGAGAACTGACTGTATAGGAAAACATATTTGCCAATGACACATCAGACAAGGGTTTAATCTCCAAAATATATAAGGAAGAATAATTTTTGTTTATCATGCTGAGAGAAGAAAAACCTTCGTCTTTTGAACTTCCAGTCAAGATGGTGGTATAGGTATAGGTAAATGCAGTACTTGCCTCCTCCTACAACCACTTCAAAAGTACAACTAAAGAGCCCTGGCTGGTGTAGTTCAAAGCATTGTCCCATAAACTGAAAGGCGAGTTTGCTTACCATTCAGGGCACATGCCTATGTTACAGGTTTGGTCCAGTCCCCAGTTGGGGTGCATATAGGAAGCAACAGATTGATGTTTCTCGCTCACAACGTGTATCTCCCTCTCTCTCTTCCTCCCTCCCCCCTCTCTAAAATCAATAACCACGTCCTTGGGAAAAAATTTAAAAAAGTAAAACACAAAACCACCATCATACGGAACTGCCTGAAATCTTGCTGAAGTCCTACCACTAGGGAATTAAAGAAGTTACAATGAGACTGGTAGGAGGGGTGGAGATGTGGAACAAGCTGGTCCCACACCCATGTGTGGAAAATAAAAATCAAGGGGGATATCTCAGCTGAGGTGGTCTTCTCTGAAAAGTGAGGGATGCTAGCCCCACACCAGAGTCCCCTGCCTCCAGCCCAGGGTTCCAGTGCCAGGAGAAGTCCCCATTTCTTCTGGCTGTAAAAACCTGCAGGTATTGAGGCTGAGGGAGATGGAGGGCTTCTGGTGTCCCAGGAATTCCTCTTATAGAGTCTGCACATGGACTTACTCAGACTCAGTTGCTCTGAGCTCCAGTGCTGGGGTAGTAGCTAAAAACGTGCCAGAGACATACAGGGAGGAACTGAATTAGCTGAAGAACATATGACTCATATATGTGTAACCCATAGACACAGACAATAGTGTGGTGATGGCCAGAGAGAAGGGGATTGGTGGTAGGTGGAGGTGGGTAAAAGGGGAATAAATGGAGACAGAAAGAGACTTTGTTTTGGGTGATGTGTGCAGATGATGTTTTGTTGAGTTGTACACTTGAAACCTGTATGGATTTGTGACCCAATGTCATCCCAATAAAGTTCAATTAAAAAAAAGAAAGAAGAAAATGTTCTGTAAAGATTTTTATGGCCATGCTGCTCATCATTAGGGGCTAGGAACTAGCCTAGGGGCTATTACCCAGGAAGAAGCTCCATGGAGCCATGGCCTCAGACATGTACCCTCAGAGCACCAAGGTTTGTCTTATCAGAGGGCACGTGTTAAAAACAAGAGGCTGACAGAAGTTAGCAGCTTTCCTGCGTTGGCATGCATTTGTTTTTACCTTCTCACTGCCTGGGAGCATTTCTCTGGGAGGAATCAGGTCAATTGTACCACACATACAGCTGTTCTGATGAGAAAAGTTTTATATGGACAACACAAACTAAACAAGAACACCATAAACAAGGAGGGAAGCACAGGCTGAGCCAAAAAAGCTGCTACAAGTAGCAAGCAGGGAACTATTTAAGCAGTGGCGTCAAATACCAAAACCATTCTTGCAAATCTAATTTGGAACTTAGCCCTTTTTACGTGCAAGAAGAAGTTAGGGGAGAAATCCCACATGTAATTTTAAAAATATATTCACACCTACCTTTTCATACTTCTTTTGTCCATTTTCCCCACAAGAAACAAATCAGACAAAGGAAAAACCCAGGTTCTTTTCCGAAAGTCCCCATATTTATTATGGACTTGTTAGCGAATCCCCAAATGGGGCTTGGGTTTAAGGAGGCAGACTTCACTTTCCTTGGCCCCACTCACTCCTGACAAGTTACCACAGAAATGCTTGGGACGCAGGCACAGAAATCCAGAAGAGGCAAGGAAAAATATGGCTCACTTAATGTATACATGATACACAAGGGCATCAGTTTCTCCAAATACACTTATGCCTGGGTCCTTCACTAGATTCTTAGCAGACTTTTCACTTGCAGCACCAGCCCTCAATCAAGCAAGCTGTGAGACATACAGGAAAGCAACATTTTGATCCAGGGCACACCGGGTCAGTCACTTCGTAAAAGACAGCCACACATGGCAGCCCCAAGCAAGTCCTCAGGGGCCCACAGCTGTGTGCTTGTTGAGTGGAAGATTGGGTTTTCTCCCTCCCAAGTTTCCTCCTTGCCGCTGCTGCTGCTGAGCTCTCCACTGTTCCCTCTGGACTCAAGACAGCAGCTCAGCGCAAGCACATGTGTGTGAAAGTATGTGTAATTTATTGTTCCTCTGCCGCTGGCTCGTCCTCAGACACTGGCTTCTCAACCTGTGACTCTGGAGGAATCAGATACTGGACCTCCTCTGTACTGATGGCTACTTTATCTGGCTGGAGCCACCTCTTGAAATGTTCCAAGGTGCTAGGAAAGAGCAAGAGAAAAGGGTGACTGCATCAGACTTCGATGATTAATTGCTTCATGATTATCTCGGTCACTCAAATACTGCCTTCCCACCCACAACCAATTTCTTCCTACAACTGTTTTTCACTGCTAACGTGGAAAGAACAACAATACTCCTCTGGCAGCTGTGCATCCTGGCAGCTCCCAGGCATAATGTACCCCCTGGTGGGCATTTTGGCTATCAGCAGCATCAGGCCCCTTCAAATGCAGAGCCTCTGAAGGCTTGATGAGAACAGCTGTAGAGCCCATGCCTCAGTCCTGATGTTTTTTTCCTCAAAACTGGAGAGGAGAGAAATTGTCAAGGGGAGGAAACATTCAAATAAATACCAAATTATTAGTGAGGCAGAAACCTGAGCACCTTGAAATCTCATACCTGAGGCAGTCTGAGACAATGATGTTTAGTGGCACTGAACACGAATATTTTGTTTGTTCAGTTATCCTTTAGCAACTCCCCAACATGGAAACATTTGAGTGGCAATGTTCCCTAAAAAAAGGAAGGGCCACTATGCCGGATGGCCCTTTTATTGTCTGAATCTGTGGGGAGGGGAGAAGTGTTCCCCTCCCACTTTCCTTAAGTACACGGGATCCTTACTCTAAAGCTATTAGACATTCACAGTAAAATATAAATGACCAGAAATAATGTTAACTTCACTCTATGTTCTTCAATAGCACATAGTCTTAAGCCATAACCAGCAGATTTAAGACACCTCTCAGTGTGTGGGGGACTCACGTTGTGGGGGATTTATGCTGGGCACAGTTGAATTTCTCAGCCCATCACTCCCTTGCCAAAAGCAGACCGTAAAGAGGGTCACCTACCTGGCCTTCACATAGGGGAAGAAGTGCACAATTCCCCTATAAAATGGCCTCTTTTTAGAACATAAATTTTGAAGCTTGAAAACCAATGCATACCTACTGTTTCCTGGTGCTTGCTCTGAACAGTGACAGAAGTGTTCCCGCAGGTGCAGGCTCGGGGAGCAAGTGCCCAGGGTTCGGGGACTCAGATGCTACACAGGAATTTAATTTTCACCTACCACACCTTTCATAGAATTATTTCAATTATTTCTATAGAGAAGGGAAAATCACATTATTTTAGGTATTAATAAATACACAGAAATGGTAACGAGCCTCGGTGCAGATCTGATTTCAGAGAAAACGAATTTCTAGTTAAGAATTAGGCAGAAGACAGTTTTATCTGTTCATCTTTGAACTGGAGAGGAGGGAAATATTCAAAAGGAGAGAGACTGTCAAATTATGAGTGAGTCAGGAATCTGTACATCTTCAAGTTTTTTTGTGTGTGAGACAGCTTAAAGCACAACTGGGTTGAGCTTTTAAATACAGAAAAGAGCAAAATTTGTATCATTTTCTGAACCCTAAGAGGGTAGCTGCCCTGAGCTCCAATGCCACACTGAATTCTGAAGGATCTTGGAAAATGCTGATTAAGTATTTAAGATAATGTAAGTGAAGGTACTTTGCAAATTAAAAAGTAAAATGTAACCGTGAAGTTTTATTCACACATTGTCCACAATTTCAGCAGCAATATCTTCATCTCACACTATGGGACTCTCAAAATCAATGTTAATGATATGTTGTAAAATTAGGTTAAGTCATACTCCCCTAAGACCTTTTGTTAAAATTCAGGTTTTGACTCCCCTCACTGCTCTTTATTTTGGATAATTTGTTAGGGAGAAGCATATTAATAATAGCTAACATTTAAACAGTACTTACCATATATATGCACTCTTTAAGCACTTTACACATAGTAATTCATTAAACCCTCATCATAACCTTATGAGGTTTCCTCCGCTTTAGAGAGGAGAAAATTGAGGCACATACAGTTTACTTACCCAGGAACATACAACCAGTAAGTGGCAGAGCCATTTTCCCAGTGTCAGACATTACCTTGTGTTGTGGCAGAGTGTCCTCCCCCCCCTCCACATCTTGCCCACCTGCAGGTATCATTCAAGTCCTGCCTCCTTCCCTGGCACAAACACCAGAGCCCATAGGGAGCTCAACAGTCTCTTAACTCCCAAGCGTGTTCTATCACTTCTACTCATCTCACTCTTATGCTGCCTCATATTGTAAGTCTTTATATGTACTTGTCATCTCTCCCCAACTTGCTCCAAGGACAAAACAAGAGGGTGTTAAACTTCTTTCCATGTCTCCTCTACCCCATCCCAGCCCCATGACACCAAGCACAGTGCCTTCAGTCAGCAGATGCTTAAGAAATTCATTCATTTAGTCTATACAAAATTGAGTGGCTACAATATGACTTTGTGAGGCAATGGAGATTCAGAGGTAAGAAGACAGTTCCAACTGTTGATTGAATGCTATTGTACTTTCTCAAGTGCATTATGTACTTGTACTCAAAGATATCTGGCCCTGGCCAGATAGCTCAATTGGTTAGTATTGTCCTGCTATGCCAAGGTTGCGGGGTTCAGTCCCTGGTCACGGTCCATACAAGAATCAAACAATGAATCCATAAATAAGTAGAACAAGTTGATGTTTCTCTTTCCCTCTCTTTCTCTATCTAAAATCAATATTTAAAAAAATGAAGGCAATGTTTTATTCTCAACTATATCCAATCTGCGATGAAGATGTAGATGGAGTATTTTCTTTTTGGCAAAAAGCTCTTTCTCAAAAATCTGCTGCTGTACTAAGAGCAAACAGGGCAAATTGACAAAGGATGATTTTAGCTCAGAAAAGCTGGTGTTGATATCAAATAATACCTTGATTCAGGTGTCACTCTCCCTGAATTTGTTAGTGAAAAAGAAGGGCCCACAGAAAAATAGACTGTTGCCTGGAACTGGACTGGGAATCAGTTACCTCTCATCAGAATCGAGTCCATCCACGAAGAACTCTGATGCTAACTTTTCCTGGAGGAACCGATCCCAGCATTCCTTCTTGGCTTGGGCCAGGGTTCGAAGCATGTCCTTAGAAGTCACTTCCTGATTTGAACCTTTGATTCTTCTCAGTTTCTTCTCTAAAGAGGGAAGAAATGGAGCTTAATAAGGAAAGTGAATATGAAATGAAACTAAATTTAAAATGCAAATGCCAACTTAAAGATTCTCTCGCTGAGTACATCCACACTCCCTACAGAAGAGCTTATTCTTTACAGAGGACAGACAAAGGAAAATGTACCATTTTCTTTTTCCAGCACAATGTCTTCACTCTACATTTTGTCAAATAAATGTTTAACCCCAGAAAAGGGAAAAGCCATAGGTTCTCATAAATAAATTGATGGTATGTTTTCTTTGAAATCACAGAACCCAGCAGGTATTTCTCTAAGGAATGCTTGTTTTCCCTGGCTTGACATGTGTATACTATCATCTTTTTTCAACTCTGTGAAAATAGTCCCTCTGAGGAGCAAATGGTTTTTCTTTTTGTTACAATGATATGAAGTGGTTTCCAAACCTCATGAGAATTAGAGAAAATGATGAGAGATCCAATGGCTCATTAGACACTAAAATTGACTCGATAAGAACTCAATAATAAAAGACTTTTAAGATTTCTACGTGTGATTAAATTCCTGGTTAAAAAGAGGGAATCTCCCAACACTTTTAAAGTCGCTCAACTTGTAGCCTGGATGTTGGAGTCTAATAAAAACAAACATCGTGTAATCCCTTTGTGAGTGATCCATATGGCTTCCAGATGATAGATGTTTATTACTCTTATTTGCATTTTAAGTATAATTGTTAAACAGATATATTACTCATGAATGTGTAATAATAAAAATATACCACAATTTTAAAGTGTGGCAATGGCTGCTAGAGACTGATATTTCTCTTTCCCCTAGTATGAGACAATCTCAATATCTTTCCTGTTTTTGGAGTCTCTCTAAACACTTACACTAAAGGCTATAGGACAGAACAGTGAAAATGTGTTCAGGAAATATTAAAACATTAAATAGCTAACAAGAAGCAGAATAAATTTTATGCCAACATGCTCCCATTCCAACAGTCGATCTATTTAATATAATAGTTTTACAAACTGTAGCATCAGAAACCTACACATAGCTCTGGGGCCATGACCTTTTCTTTCAGGATAGCGAAAGGTTTGATACTTTTATAGAGTTATTTGAATATATGAGCCACCAACAGTAGGCAATAGAGTCTACAGAATGCCAAAAAATAAAGCAGAATTTAGATAAGACAGAGGCAAGAAGTGATAAAGACTGTTTTAAGGGACATACAAGAAAAAGGGGGTCCTTGCCATAACCAACCTGAAACACCTCTTAGACTTATATCTGACAGATGTATGTGGTGAGGACAAAAAAACCCATTATTTTAAACAATAGAAAACCAGGTTTGATGTAAAAAAATTTCAACAAGCATCCTTAAAGCCATCAGTTTACGATTAAAAAAAAAAAAGCCATCTAACTTACCTAGAGATGCTAGATACACTTCTGAATCCTGCAAGGGAGCCCAAGGTTTTATGGCTGGCTGAGTAGCAAAGTCTGGGGCCTCCCTCTGGCTCGTGCCTGCAGGGTAAGAATCCAAAAAGGAGTCTGAGAAGGCATTTTTGGCACCATCCTCTTGGTCAGGATTTGGCAGACAGGAACAGATTTCAGCCCAAAGATCTGGGCCAGATTTTGTGGTTGTAGAGTCAACGCTCTCAAACATTTTCATTTGGAATTTAAACTGAAAAACAGAAGCTCAAGTTAGCAAGGACAGGCTTTAAGGATATAGTATAAGTATGTAATATTCAGATATGTTTACCCATTGAAGGTGATATACTTTTAAGAAGTTTCTCTTAACAAAAGTTAAAATGTCTTCTATTAATTAGGTTTCTGGTTACAGATAAAAAGATTACAAAAAGGTAATTGGGTTCCTCTTCTGACTCTGCATTCAAGTTGTTTTCATAATGAAGTTTGTCTTTAAAAATGAGATTTCTACAAGCCAGACACTAAAGGACAAACACCAAATGATTCCACTTATGTGAGGTGCCTACTGCAGTCAAACTCATAGAGACAGAAAACTGGGCAAGTGGTTGCCAGGAGCTTTTTGGGTAGGGGAATGGGAGTTATTGTTTAATGCTACAGAGTTTCAGTTTGGGAAGTTCTAGAGATGGATTGTGGTGATGGTTGCAGGACAATGTGAATGCCACTGAATCATACATCTAAAAATGGTTAAAATGGTAAATTCTATGCTTGTTTGTTTTAAAACACACATATGTGTGTGTATTTCTATGCTATTACCAATGAAAACAATCATCCTGCACTTTTCCCAAAAAAATCCCCAAAATTCAACCACTCAGTCCTCAGCCAATTAAATTGCTTTCAATAGGGCACAGACTAAAAATCTTGCCCAGTCCCATACACGTAAGAATAATAAAAGTGCTGCTTGGTGAAAAGTGCCTCTCAGAGAACACTGTCACATGCAAAGGCCCATGTGCTCATTACATGTAGAAGCTGGCCTGTATGCCTCGTTTTCTTATTTTAATAGAGACACTGTAAGACAGGCATTTTCATCATTTGGCAGATGAAGAATCTGTAGGATCTGAGGATCAGAAGATTAACTTGTCAATGGTACATTATTTCTATATGGTAACTCCTTGATGGGAAACCAGACCTGGGCCACTCCAATATATCCATGTTTTTACCCAATACCATTCTGCCTGATTGGGAATATACTGAAAGTACCCCCAGCAGAGGTAACTGGTAAGGGCTAAGCACAGCGCCTAGGGGCTTTCATAACGATCTAGTCTTACAGGATGGGTTGACACCTTCTCACGGGGTGGCGGTGGGCCTTTGAGATTAAGAAGGCTGCCTGCAGTAAGGTTTGAATAATTCCAGGAAAACCCAAACCAGCGCAAGGGCCCGGAAGTAAAAGGGACAGATCTGTCACGGTGACCCTGAATGAACTGATGCCAGGGGCCACAACGAACCCCACTCCACCCCCAAATCATTTAAACACAGCCGAACCGAAAATTTGCTCACGCCAGAGCCCGGGGGTACTCCTTCCCCGCAGGAAGTCCACAGCGCAAGGAACTCTGGTGTCCAGACCCGGGGCCTCAGGCACTCTGTCCTCAAGGACTCGCTGGGAGGAATGAATCAGAGTCCGAGGTCTCTCTGTGGTATTCCAGGATGCGGCCCGAAGCGAGGATATGCTGGGGCCCCCGCCACTCCTCACCTACCGCAACAGCCCGCGGAGCTGCCCGCAAACCCTCAGCTCAGCTGTCTCTCAGCCGGGAAGAAATGGGTGGGCGGAGTCTCCGAGTGACGGATCCCGGGAGTCCTCCAATCACCGGCCAATCTGGCGATATTCTGTGCCTCCATAGGTCGAGTGGATAAGGAAGTGAGGAACTGAGTGCCAAGAGCGGGTGGGCGGGCCTGTTGTTGCCGGGAAACCGTGGAGCCAAGTACCCTGGGTATCTACATTCCCCTGGAGCTAGATTGATTAAACTTATTTCTTTATTTTTTTAAATTTTATTTATTGACTTTTAGAGAGAGAAGGAGTGGGGGAGAGAGGGAAATATAGATTCGTCGATCCACTTATTTATGCATGCATTGGTTGCTTTTCGTATATGCCCTCCCTGGAGATCGAACCCTCACCCTTGGCATTTTGGGATGGTGCTCTAACCAAGTGAACTACCTGGCAAGGGCCCATTCCACTTATTTCTGTGTGTTTCAGTAGTGGGGACAGTGCCCTCCACCTATTTCCTGCTTGGATGAGGAAGCCCGGTTTTTAAGGCCTTTGACTTTGCTTCTTTGAGCAAATTCACCTCCTCAGCAATTCTCTGGACCAGTGTTTGTCTCCGAAAATTTCACCCTTTCGCTACCCAAGTTAGAGTACTTCTGCGGCTCTGATGGGGAAGGAGGCTTCTTCTTCCCCAGGTTACAGGACACCTATGTCCCATTCAAGTTATGAAGCTTTCCCTCATTCCTTTAGGCAACAGTGGCCAAGCCCCTGCTGTGTTCTAGGCGTTATGTTAAGAAGGAATCCAAGGAAGGAAATCAAGGAACTTATAGCAAGGACTCATGGACAAAACCAAGGGGGAAGAGCTGAGGGAGGGAAGGAGGGAGGGGGCAAGGGAAAGTGGTGGGGGGTAGGCAGAGACAAATGTATCTGGAAAAAAAATTAAATAAATAAATAAATAAATAAATAAATAAAAGAAGGAATCCAAGACAGACTTGGTATGAGTCCCAGAGGTCTTCACAGCTTAGTGTAACAGGGTGCGCCATGGGGCAGACGACTTTACAAAGAACAGCAAATAGTTACAGAGGATATGAGAGAAGTGTGACCAGAGTATATAAAGGAGAGAGTGGTCTTGGGAGGTGCGTGTCAGAAGTGCATTTTAAAAGGAGATGGCCTTTGCCCTGGCCAGGTGGCTCAGTTGGTTGGAGCATCCTCCCCTACATCAAAAGTGATTCAAAAGTGATCAAAAGGTTTCGAGTTTGATTTCCATTAGGGTAAATACCCATATTTTGCCATGTATCATGCGCACCCACGTGTTTGGCTCAAACTTTCAGGAAAAAAAATCTTTTGTTTTAATATTTTAATTCAATTATTTATTTTATTTATATTCAGATACCTGTTTTTTGTATTACAAAGGAATTTTAGCACTTATTTTTGAACATAGGGATATTGTTACTGCTTTCTAGAGTTACTTGTAATGCACAAGCTCTACATAAATAAAAGAATTAAAAACATTTCTATAGATACAGAATTAGTACTACCCACGTATAACACACATCCTTATTTTTCCCTCAAAAATTTGGGCAAAAAGTGTGCATGATACACAGCAAAATATGGCACTTGCACTGACCTAGGTTACAGGTCACGGATCCTGTTCGAGGTGCACCAGGGAGGCAAACAATCAATGTTTCTCCCTCTCTCTCTCTCTCTCTTCCCTTCTTCTCTAAAATCAATAAATATATCCTCAGGTGAGAATTAAAAATTATAAAAAAAAAGGAGATGACCTTTGATATCTTTTAGGAGTTATCAATATGCTGAGATGCAATTCTTCTTACCCCTAAAACCCCAATTTCCAGGGCTGTTTACTCCTAAAAAAAAAACCCCATCAGTAGAAGTAATTTGTCTTATGATCTAGTCTCTAGATGTGTTGAAAGCCAATTAATATGGCTATGGTATTAATAACTACCAACATGTGAATGGAAACTGCAAAGTACTACCTTGCTCACATTTACAACCATACGTAGAATATGCAAATGGAGGGAAGTGAAAAGCAAGGAGGTTACAGAACAAAGGAGCAGATAACAGGCAAGATTTTGACAATGCTTATTTACAGGGAATAATATGGGGGGAGTGGAATCTCTCACCGAAGGATCCTTACAGTCCTCCAACTACCACCCTATGTGGTAACCTGAATCTGGCAGCAGCTGATTCATAGAGAGGAGCACTTTCACAGGCTTATGGGTGCTTCATCAAATGCACCCATAATGGGTGCTCTCAACCCATTTATGCCTTTTTCTGTGATTTCCTGCTCACCAAACAAACTCTTGATTTCAAATTTGGCCTCTTAAATATCTTGATAAGGGTGCCTTTAACAGTAGGCACAAATGGAATACACTTTATAACTTAAAGTTGCAGTTGTAAAATGACAAACTGGCACCCTTAGTGATTCATCCATGTCCTCTGAATAATTAGTGTGTGTGCTGAGTAAACCCAAACCAGATCCTGGACTTGCACAGCTGAAACCACGGTGATCTCCTCCTCTCAGTGACTTCTCACACTGGGAGCCACATGAGGGCAGTGAGCATCCCTTTATTTTGGACTCTGCTTAGGACATGAAGAGGCATTTCTCCAAGGAGAGCATACAGGTGGCCAATAGACACATGAAAAGATGCACAACATCATTAATTGTCAGGAAAATGTAGGTTAAAACCACAATGAGATATCACCTCACACCTGTCAGAATGGCTAGTATCAATAAATCAACAAACAACGTGTTGGCGAAGATGTGGAGGAAAGGAGACCCTCATGCACTGTTGCTGGGATTGTAAATCTGCAAAGCCACTAAGGAAATCAGTATGGAGGTTCCTCAAAAAAATAAAAATAGAACTACCTTAAGACCTCGCAATTCCACTTCTGGGTATTGATCCAAAGAAAACAAGAGCACTAATTCAAAACGACAAATGTTGCCTTCACCAGGTAGCTCAGTTGGTTAGAGCATTGTCCCCATACACCAAGGTTGCGGACTTGTTCTCTAGTCAGGGCACGTACAAGAAAGCAACCAATGAATCCATAAATGAGTGGAACAACTAAACCTCTCTCTCTCCCCACCCCCGCCACACATGCCCCCTATCAAAAAATCAATTAGCCCTGACTGCAGTGGCTCAGTTGGCTGGGCATCATTCCTTGAAGCAAAAGGTCGCTGGTTTGATTCCCAGTGGGGGCACATGCCTGAGTTGCATGTTCCTACCCAGTTGGGGAGTGTAGGAGAGGCAACCGATTGATGTTTCCCTGTTTCTCTCCCGCATCAATGTTTCTCTCCCTCTTTCTCCCTCTCCCTTCCCCCTTCTCCAAAAATAAATAAATAAAACCTTTTTAAAAAATCAATTTTTAAGGAAAGAGCCCTGGCCGGTATGGCTCAGGCTGTTGGAGCATCATCCTGTGAACCGAAAGTTCCCAGCTTTGACCCCCTCGTCAGGGCACATAGGAGAGGCAGCCTATCACGCTTGTCTCCCACATTGACGTTTCTGTCTTTCTTCCTCCCTACTCAAAGGAAGGAAGAAGGAAGGAAGGAAAGAAAGAAGGAAGGAAGGAAGGAAGGGGGGGAGGGAGGGAGTTCTTTTCAGGAGCTTTTCCAGCCCCAAGGACCTTGGAGTATATCTACAGGAAATCAATGCTTTTGGTGAGGCTTTCTCACAGCCTCTCAACTGGCCACTCAATTCTTTCAACTCGTTCCCCTCACTCCTCTTTTCGCAGTCCCCACCTCGGCACTGGATCTCAGGATTGGCTGGTGCTGGGTGACGTCTTCAGATCGCGACCGAGCAGTGGCGCCCGCGTGGGTATGTGGCTAGGCGTCCGTGGATGGCTCCCGTTTCTCGTGCAGGAGTGTTCTAACCTGCGGTGCCTCAGCTTTGCCAGGACTTGTCGTGGCCGTGGGGGCCCGATGGCTGAAACGCTCTCGACTGAGGCGGAGGCGGCGAGTGGGTTGAGGGCTCCGGTTCAGCAAAACGGAGACGCGAGTGGCGTCGCGAGGGGTGAACGGCCCCCAGGACTCCCGCAGCCGGCGGCCCAGGGAGTGGAGCTGGCCCCAAGGGAGGGGCCGCAGGCCACAGGGAGCGAGGAGCAGGCCCCGGCTGCACCGCAGGACCTAGGCAAGCGGAAGAAGCGGCGCGGCACAGTCGGGGAGCGAGTGGTGCCGCCTCCGAAGAAGCGCCGGGCAGGAGTGAGCTTCGGAGATGAGCACTTTGCAGAGACCAGCTACTACTTCGAGGGCGGCCTGCGCAAAGTGCGGCCTTACTACTTTGACTTCCGAACCTACTGCAAAGGCCGGTGGGTGGGCCACAGCTTGCTGCACGTCTTCAGCACCGAGTTCCGAGCCCAGCCTCTGGCCTACTACGAAGCCGCGGTCCGAGCAGGGCGTCTGCACCTCAACGAGGAGCCGGTACAGGACCTCAGCATTGTGCTCAAGGTGGAGTCCTGATAGGGCCGGCCGGAAGGGAGCGAGGAAAGGGGCAGGGTTTTTTTCAGAGCTGGTAGGGCATAGGTACTGGAGTAAAATCGGGGTGATTCTGAAGCTTTCTCGCTTTCACTTGAAACAGCCTTTTAGCCCCCTCCTCGCACCCCATCTCCTCAAGTAGCCTCAGCGCTTCAAAACTCAGTGCTTCAAAAACATTGCATTTTTGTTTCCTCAGGACAGAAATTGGAATTCTTGTGACTCCTTTTATGCAGCCTTGTACCACTGACACTGACATTGATCACTTTCTATTTTGCATTGTGGATCTCTGTACAAATAGTATAGTAGGGGCTATCATTTATGTCTCCTTACTATATGTTGGGCACAGAGGAAGCATTTTATATATTTAGCATTTAATTTAATCAACATCCTTGTGGGGTACGTATTGCCACCTCATTTTACCTGTGAGGAAACTAAACCTCGCAGAGGTAAGGCAACAGTGTCACCTCCAAAGCCTGTGTTCTTATAACTGCTTAAATAAATTATTTATTATAGAGCCTGACTTGATAGAATGATGAACTGTCAGGGATAAAGACTAGAGCTGTCTAGCCCAGTGCTTTGACCCTTCTTTAAAATTCCTTCACACCTAAGAGGTACCACACACCCCTATCAGGAACACTGGCTCACCAGGTTGCGAGAGGAGACAAGGTGATTGCAGCATTTGGGGAATGGATAGTTTGAATCCTCTCTCCCATCCTAGTTTTGAAAAGCACATATCTGGTCTAACCTTCACATTTTACAGACAAGGAAATGGGCTTAGAGAAGTGAAGTGGCTTGCAATGAACCTGTGGGAAATCTAGGTGTAGAGCTCAGATCTCTGCACTTAAAGCTTGGTGTGTTTTTTTTTAAGGTCATGAAAAGAGATGATTTATGGGGGTTTTTTCCCTCTCTTTAAGACAAATTTACCTTTTAAATATAGCATTGTAGAGAAAATACAAATAAGCAAAATCAAAAAACATCCATAATCCCACCACCCAGACATAGTACCATTAACACTTTCGTATATATCCTTTTAGTTCTTTTTTCCAGTACCTACTTCTTGCCTATGTTGTGTGTCTGCATTTTTACAAAATGAGAATGCACTATACGTACTGCTTTTTCTATGTAAGGACACATTGGGACCATTCTTCCGTGTCAATAAATAAGAGGAGGCGGTGTGTGAAGTTGACTCATTTACAGGTTGCTGGCCACCGGGCTGACCAATTGCCTATGTTATTGGCAGGACAATGACTTCTTGCGGAACACTGTGCACAGGCATGAGCCACCAGTCACAGCAGAGCCTGTCCGCCTGCTGGCTGAGAATGAAGACATGGTGGTTGTAGACAAGCCTTCTTCCATTCCTGTCCACCCCTGTGGCCGGTTCCGACACAACACAGTCATCTTCATCCTGGGCAAGGAGCACCAACTTAAAGAGCTACACCCACTGCATCGGCTTGACCGCCTTACCTCAGGGGTCCTCATGTTTGCCAAGACAGCGGCCGTTTCAGAGAGAATACACGAGCAGGTTCGGGACCGGCAGGTGAGCCTGGCTTTTGTCTCATGCAGGTCACTTCTTGGGCTCACAAATGCTATGTGTCAAAAGGGCATCACTGAGTTCTAACTGAAGTAGGCCTTTTTATTTAATCTGGCCAAGCATCCTACTTTCAGGGAGGGCAACACCTAACATGCCAAAAACAGGTTATTAATATCTCTTATGTTTCAAGAGATTTTTAGAAATGGCACACACTGTCTCTCTGGGTACTTTGCTCTTTTGAAATTTTAAAGTTTTGACAGGCTGAGCAAGGTTTTTGAGATTGTGGGGAGAGCCTACTTGATGGAAAGATTGTGGATGAAATTGGAAGAGGCTTGGGTAGAAGAGTTATATGATAGTGATTGTGGTCTTGAGACTTGTAATTCTGGATCTGATTGATACATTTATTGAGTGTTTACTGTATACCAGGCTAAGTACCAAGTACATTGGAGCCTCACTTACTGAATCCTTAAAATAGCCCTTTGAGATAAAACCTTTTCTAATATCACTTTTTCTAGACAAATTAATGGGATTTAAAGAGGCTAAGTAATGGACTCAGAATCACAAAACTGGCAAATGATGGAGATGGAGTTTGCATCCTCTTCTGTCTGGTGCTGGTATATTCCTCACCACTTGCAGAGGAGCAGGGCTTCATGCGTTTATGCTTTGTGCTGATTTTCTCCCTCTTCCCCCCATGTAGCTGGAGAAGGAGTACGTGTGCCGGGTGGAGGGGGAGTTCCCGGCCGAGGAGGTGACCTGCAAGGAACCCATCTTGGTAGTGTCTTACAAGGTAGGGGTGTGCCGTGTAGATTCTCGGGGCAAGCCCTGTGAGACAGTGTTTCAGAGACTGAGCTACAATGGCCACTCCAGTGTGGTGCGGTGTCGGCCACTCACAGGTCGCACCCACCAGATCCGAGTCCACCTCCAGTTCCTGGGCCACCCCATCCTAAATGACCCTATCTACAACTCAGCAGCCTGGGGACCCTCCCGGGGCCGTGGTGGCCACATTCCCAAGACAGATGAGGAATTGCTGCGGGACCTTGTGGCAGAGCACCAAGCCAAACAGAGCCTGGATGTGATAGATCTCTGTGAAGGTGACCTGTCCTCAGCACTCACAGACTCTACAGCTCCCTCCTCAGAGCTGGGCAAGGACCACCTAGAAGACTTGGTTGCATCTGCCCAAAAGATGGATGGAATACTTGAGGCAGCCCCTCAGGATCCGGACATAGTGGCCCAGCCACCTGGGAATGCAGCTGAAACAGATGTTGTGAATCAAGAGATAGACCCCCTCTGTGCAGAGTGCCGACTGGTGCGACTGGACCCCTTGCCCCAAGACCTTGTGATGTTTCTGCATGCCCTGCGCTATAAAGGGCCAGGCTTTGAGTACTTTTCACCCATGCCTACCTGGGCACAGGATGACTGGCAAGAGAGCTGAGACCTGTGGCCTATGGAGAAATTACTTCTTGGGTTGGAAGAGGCCATGGAGTAAAAACTGACCTCGTGGAGTGGTACTCAAGCTTTCTGTAAGGAGTGAAGTTGGACTCTGGAACTTTTTATACTTTTTACCTCCTTGAGCTAGAGTTTGAGGACTTTTTGGTTTGTAAATATATCCCTTTTTCTTATACCCTGTGTGTCTGGTTTTCCTACTTTTTTTTTTTTTAGGTTGAGGTAAATTCACATAACATACAATTAACCATATTAAGGTATACTGTTTAGTGGCAGTTGGCACATTCACGGCATTGTGCTGCCATTACCTCTTTCCTAATTCCAAAACATTTTCATCACCCAGAAAGAAACCCATACCCCATAAACGGTTATTCTCCATTTCCCCTTCATCCCAGCCACCGGTAACTGTTAATCTACTTTTTGTCTGAATGGATTTGTCTATTCTGAACTTTTCATATAAATGGAGTCATATAATAGAGACCTTTTGTGTCTGTCTGTCTTTTGCTTAGCATAATGTTTTCAAGGTTCATCCAATTTATAGCATACATCAGTACCTCAGTCCTTTTTATGGCTGAATAATATTCCATTGTATGGGTATACTATACTGGCTGTATTTTTGTGCACAAATTTTTGTTTGAATTTGTATTTTCAGTTCTTTGGTATGTACCGAAGAGTAGAATTGCTGAGTTATATGGTAATTCTGTGTTCAACTTTTTGAGGAGTCATGTAACTTTTCCATAGTGACAGAGCCATTTTGAAACCGGGAAAGTTAGCATTTGTGCTGCCTGTCACTACCAGAACCAGTAAGTAGGGACAAGGATTGAATCAAAAACATGTTAACATCTCAAGTCCATCTTTTTATGGGGAGAAGAAAAGGGTAGGTAAGGGGTTTGAAAAAAGATTAATCAGATAAGAGTTGCAGTTGCTGTGATGTTCCTAGTATTTATCTGCTGATCAACAATTCTTTATCTGTGTCACAGATGTTCCCTCCCTGGAACACAATGGTTCAGATACCGTAGCTTGCAGACCCCCTAGGGCACAAATGTTGAATTGCTTGTCCTGTAGTGTAGGTTGTGCATTCCAGTTCCTGGAATAACAGCTTTCCACGTGCGTTAATCACTTAAGCCTGTCAGCTCTACCAGAAGCTAAAATCTTTTAACTCTTGAGTTCCCCTATCAATTTTACATTCCCATGGGCAACACTCCAGGTTTACAATTTCTCCACATCCTCACGAAGACTTACTTTCTTTTGTTCTGATTATAGTTAGCCTAGTGGAAGTGATATGTCATGGTTTTAATTTGCATCTCCCTACTGGTTAGTAATGTTTAGCATCTTTGCATGTACTTGTTGGCCATTTATATATCCTTGGAGAAATGTTTATTCAGGTCTTTTACCCATTTTTGAATTGGGTTGTTTGCCCTTTTGTTGAGTTATAAAACCGCCATGTATATTTTGGATATAACACCATTATCAAATAAATAATTTGCACATAATTTCTTCCATTTTGTAGGTTGTCAGTACATTCTGTAGATAGTGTCCTTTAATTCACAAAAGTTTTAATTTTTTCTATCGTGGTAAGAACACTTAATATGAGATCTAGCCCTTAACAAATTTTTATATGTACAATACAGTATTGTTAACTGGAAACAGTGTTGTACAGTAGAGCTCTCAAACTTAATCATCTTGCATAATTGAAACTTTATACCTGTTGAATAGTAATTCCCTATTTCCCCCTGCTCCCAACCCTTGATATCACCATTTGACTCTGTTTCTATATGCTTGATTTTGTTAGATACCTGAAAAGAAAAATCTTGTTTTCCTTTACTCACTACTTAGAGAATATTGTATACTTCAAATGTGTGGGGTTTGCTCCACACCAAGAAATAATCCTAGACCAGCTACAAGGAGTCCTACAATTTAACTCAATTCTGACACTATCTACCTGGAGAGAGGGTCAGATTCCACAAGTTAAGGGCTTACTCCCACATTGCCAGTCTCAAGCTCAGGTTGTTACCTGCGCTTCTGACCAATCATAAATCAGAGGTTCCCACAACCCTCTCCTTGGGTTTAATCATTTACTAGAATGGCTCACAGAACTCAGGAAAATGGTTTACTTGATAGATTACTGATTTATTACCAAAGGATATTAAAGGATACAAATCAATGTCCAGATAAAGAGATATATTGGGTAAGGTCTGGAAGGGTGTTGAGCACAGGTGTTTCTGACCCCGTAGATCTCGGATATGCCACCCCCTGGGCATGTGATGCCTTCTTCACGAACCTGGAAGTTCTCTGAACCTAGGTTGCATGTCTTTGGAGAAACATCTATTCAAATCCTTGGCCCATTTTTTAACTGGCTTATTTGGCGGGGGAAGGGAGGCGAGGAGGGGGGCAGGGCGGGGAGGGTTGTTATAGAGTTGAAGGAGTTCTTACATTTTTTTAGTTCTTACATTTTTTTAATATTGACCCCTTAATAGAATTATGACTTGCACATATTTTCTTCCATAGGTTGCCTTTCACTCTGTCAATTTCTTACTTTTGCTGTGCAGAAGCTTTTTAGCTTGATGTAGTCTCACTTGTCTATTTTTGCTTTTGTTGTGTGTGCCTTTGACAGGTTCAATTTTGATGCAGTCCAACTTTTATTGATTGTGCTTTTGATGTTATTATCAGAGGATCCACTGGCAAATCTAAGGGCATGAAGATTTACCTCTGGATTTTCTTTTAAGGATTTTATAGTTTTAGCTCTTATATTTAGGTGTTTGATCCATTTTAAGTTGATTTTTGTATATGGTGTGAGATAGGGGTCTAATTTCTTTCCGCTACGTGTGGATATCCACTTTGCCTGGTGATACAGAGAGATCTGATCAGATCACTGGGGAGAAGGGAGGAGCCCTACGAGGTTGCCTGAGGCAATGGTAAATAAATCAGAAGGGATCCGCTGAGAAGCTGAATGCCTCTAAAGTTCATGGAATTAATATGCCGGAAGATCTGAAATAAAAGAAGGGCTCTCGGACTCTCTGGCTCTCACTTCTTCCTCAGGGATGCTTGGGTGATCTTCCTGCAGCTGCCTGTGTTTCCCAGCAGATGATATTTTGGATGGGAAGGACCTCAGTGCAACCTAGGATCAGGCTGGCCTGGCAGAGGGCAGCAGAGTTATTCTTCGGGTGATCTAGAGGGGACAAGCTTCAAGGCAGAAGCCTGCCATTCTTCCAAAATTGTGTAGCTTTTGTATCTTATGTTGTTTTAGTTTGTAAACTAATCCTATAGAAATAAGATAATTAAAAACTAATGGGGAATGGTAGGAGAAAGCAGGTGTCAAAGAGTTTAGCCTTAATTGATAGGTGTAAGTGATTAAAGCTGTAACTGAAGAGTTAAAGAGTTTATCCTTAATTGATACATTTAAGTGACTAATGCAAGTGGAAAGCTGTTATTCCAAAATTATGAAGCTTTTGAATAAAGATTCCCTTATCACTAAACCTTTGCCTCTGGAATTTTGCCTAGAGGGTGGTGGTGGGCAGCGGGACCCCATTTGCTGTTCTGTAACACTAGCACCATTTGTTAAAGAGACTGTTCTTTCTTCATTGAATGATCTTGGCACTCTTGTAGAAAATCAATTGACCACAGATATATAGTTTTATTTCTGGACTCTTGATTCTTTTTCATTGATCTCTATGTCTATCCTCCACCACTACCACATTGTTTTGATTGCATTCCTGCAAAAGAGGGTGAAAGTATTTTTTTATTTAATTTTTTTTATTGTAGAAAACACATAACAAAATTTACCATTTTGGATCATTTTAAGTGTACAGTGTAGTAATGTTAAGTATGTTCACATTGTTGGAAACAGATCTCCAGAATTTTTTCTTCTTACATGACTGAAACTCTGTACAACTCCTCTTTCCCCTCCTACCCCAAGGCCCTGGTAACCACCATTCTACTTTCTGTTTCTGTGAATTTGATTACTTTAGATAACCTCATATAAGTGGAATCATACACTTTTATCTTTTGTAATTGGCTTATTACACTTAGCATAAAGTGCTCAAGGTACATCCGTCTTGTGATGTGATAGGATTCCTTTTTTAAGGCTGAGTAATACTCCATTGTCTGTATATACCACATTTTGTTATCCTTTCATTCATTTATGGACACAGGCTGCTTCTACCTTTTGTCTGTTGTGAATCATACTGCTGTGAACACTGTTGTACAAATACCTCTTAAGTATCCCACTCTCCATTCTCTTGAGTATACATCCAGAAATGGGATTGATGGATCATATGGTAGTTCTACTTGCAATTTTTTGAGGAATCTCCATACTGTTTTCTATAGCAGCTACATAATTTTACAATCCTATCAACAATGCACAAGGGTTCCAATTTTTCTACATCCTCACCAACACATTTTCTGCTTTTTTTTTATAGTAGCCATTGAAATAGGTGTAAGGTGATATCTCATTGTAGTTTGGATTTGCATTTCGCTGATGCTTAGTGATATGTGATACTGAGCATCTTTTCATTTGTTTCTTGGCCATTTGTATATCACTTAGAGAAATGCCTCTTCAAGTCTTTATGCATTTTTTAATAGTTATTTGATTTTTTCTTTTGAATTCTGTAAGTGTTCTCTACATGTTCTGGATGTTAACCTTACAGGTGTTTAATTTTTAAATACTTTCTCCCATTCCACAGATTCTTTTTGTTCTATTGATTATATCTTTTAATACACAAAAAGTTTTTAATGTCCCATTTTCTTCTAGCAATGTTTTGTCATTTTCAGTGTACATGTCTTATACTTCCTTGGTTAAATTTAATCGTAAATATTTTATTCTTTTTGATACTATTTTAAATGGTATTGTTTTCTTAATTTTGTTTGGATTGTTCATTGCTAGAGTATAGAATTACAACTGATTTTTGTGTTGATTTCGTATCCTGCAACTTTGCTGAATTTATTAGCTTAATAGTTTATGTGTGTATGTTCTTAAAATACCTGTATTTTTTTGTGTCATCTGCAAATAGAGATAATTTTACTTCTCCCCCTTTAAACCTTTTGTGTACTCTCTTCATTTGAAGCTTGTTCATGTTTTCAAAACTGCAGCAATTTGATCAATTATTAACTACATCAGAACAATTAAGAATTGCCTACTAAAATGACTGCAATAATTTGATCAATTATTAACTACATCAGAACAATTAAGAATTGCCTAGTAAAGTGACTGTCAGCAGCATAATAGTGTGGCTGGTGGGCTTTGGAAACTTCAGAGGCAACGGAGACACCAGTGAGGACCATAGAGACAACAGGAGTGAGGCCTGGGCCTGCCGATCACCGTTTTGACTGTGGAGGAGGTTTACTGCAATTATGGCATCCTAGCCAATGGCATGGAGCAACTGGGCCAACACTCAGATGCTTATCAAGTGATGTTGGATGGTGTGAAAGGTAGTGTCAAGGCAAAAAGATTATTAGCTCAGTTTATATCAAAATTCTTTAAACATTTTCCAGAATTGGCTGCTTCTATTATTAATGCACAGTTAGTCCTCTGTGAGGATCAAGATGTATTAATTCACCAGCAAGCAATTAAAGAGCTTCCTTAATTTGCCACTAGAGAAAATCTTCCCCCAGTGGTGGACATTCTAACCCAACTTTTACAGGCAGATGACGGCAGAATTTAACTTAATGAACAATGCCCTATTTACTTCATTTAAGATGGATGCAAAAGGGACTTTAGGTGCCTTATTCATCCAAATTCTTCAAGGAGAGGACATTGTTAGAGAATGAGCAATCATAATCCTTTCCACAAAATGTAAGACTTTACCAGACGAGGCCTTACCAAAGGAAGTAAAGGAACTTATACTAATTGAATCCAAAAAGGTCCTAGAAGATGTGACTGGGGAAAAATTTGTCCAGTTCATGAAGATACTATCCTGGGTTAAAACGCTTATAGGCAGTGAAAGGAAAACCACAACTTGTGAGTTAGTAGCTAACCAGGCTGACCTAGAACAAACTTTCAACCCATCAGCTCCTAAATGTGTGGCCAGACTCTTACTGTGCAGGCGGTACCCTTCCTCCCTAAAAGTGTGCATTCCAGAAAGTCCGTGGCTTATTTCTGTGAGCAGGTTCACCTTAACCTCAGCTCTTTGACTATCGCAGTGAGAAGTCTCAATCCACAGTTGGAGGCATTGAAACTGTTGGTGGAAATGAGTTTATTTTGTGGTGACATGGAAAAACTAGAAAGACAGTTAAGGAAACTTTGATAAATTATTGGAGTACCTGCCTCTCCCTCCTGAAGAAGCAGAAAATGGGGAGAATCCTGGTAATGAAGAACCCAAGCTGCAATTCAGTTATGTGGAATGTTCATTGTACAACTTCCACCAGTGGAGCTGAAAAATTCTAGATTTCTTAATAAACCGAATGCAGAAAAGCTCAAAGATTTTAAAGTTAGACTACAGTACTTTGCACAGGGTCTGAAGTTTTATATCAGACAACTTCACTTGGCTCTCCAGGGTAAAACAGGCAAGGCCTGAAAAACAAAAGAACAAAATTAAAGTTATTGCATTAAAAGTAACAAATAATGCCAATGTTTTTGTTTTGTTTTAAAGTGAAACAGAATTAAACTTTACTTATTTGGAAGGTAGGGTGAATCCATCACTGGTCATTGGAGCCCTGACGCTGCACTTTCTTCTCAGCAAGGTGGCTGTTTGGCAGGGATTGTGGTGGGTTGGAATCTGCCTGGCTCCCCAGAGCACATGCCCAGGGTCATTGAGAAATCGTTGGCTGCACTGGCATGTTAGGCAGGTCGGTACTGTCCAGCGCTGTCCCCTGCAGTGTCTTTGGCGCTGTGTGCAAGTCAAGCCTGGAGGAGTTGGGAAAAGCAGCCTCGACAGACAGTCCTCTTCACTGAGGGGCCCCTGGTACAAGAAGCTGAACCTCTGGAAAGCCTCGTGGTCCTTCACCAGCCCCACCATTCAGGCAGCACAGAGCCCCAAATAATGCCAATGTTTTAATCAAGGATGTCTTCCACACTCCTCTTCTATAGGAGCACAATAACATTATCCTGGAAATATAAAGAAGGTTGAAGTCAGTCAAAAGAGAGCTGAAGAAGATACAACTTTTGGGTTCAGCACCAAGAAATCTCCAGCAAGACCAAAAAGGCAGATTTATAATCTTCCTAGCGGGAAGTATAGCAGCAATTTGGGCAACTTTAATTATGAGCAGAAAGGAGCCTTCAGGGGAAGTAGAGGTGGCTGAGGTTTGGGAACATGAGAAAATCATAGTTGCATAGTCAGGGATGACTACTGAATAACACATCATGTTCTTCAGCATTGTCATACTTAAATTCTACTACTCACTGGAT